CAGCGCAGGCTCTTGTACCACCTCAAGGGGGAGCCTCTATTGAAATAGAGGAAGAAGAAGAGGAGGAACATGATGAGTTGCCTAAGGAGGACGAGAACAAAGAGGCTGTGCTAAAGGCTAAAAAACGGAAGATTGATGATAAGAAAAGGAAAAAGTTGGGGAGAAGTCAAAGAAGAAATGAAAGTACCAGACGTCGATTGAAGAAGGATTTGATCTGGAGAATCTGGTAAATAAGCTTCTTGAGGGACATAATGAGTTGTTAAATTTAAAAGAGATTTTGACAACTGCACCTAAGCTCAGGGAACTGGTAAAAGCTAAACTGGCAAGAAAGAGAGTAGCGACGGTAAGGATGGGCGACCTGATCCCCAAGGAAGCCAACTGGACTGCGGCTGGGAGTAAGATGGATTGGAAATCTGTGGGGACAGGGTCCATAGATGTCAATATCAGAGGGAAAGGATGCCCTGGGATGTTGGACAGGGGAGCAGAGATGAATATTATGAATCTTGAAACGGCTGAGATGCTAGGGTTGGAGATCGATAGGAGGGGCCCAGGTTACCTCAATGGGGCTAGTGGAAAATCAGGCTAAGTAGGGATTGCCTCAAATGTAGTTGTGGAAATAGGAAGCGTCAGGGTCCGATCCTGTTTTTACATAATGACTACCTTGGATCTTCCTATATTATTGGGAAGGTCCTTCTTGTCGCGAACAGAGTCCCTTATCATGAACAAGCATGACGGGACCTTGTACGTAATTTTATGTGACCCCGCTTATGGTAATTTCGAGGTCATTACCTGTAAGAATACAGACCCTCATAGCTCGAAGAACCGACTCAATGCTCGGTCATATACCTTCGAGGAATCTGAGAATAGAAGAAGAGAATTAGAGTGGGGGTTTGATGAGGATGAGGAAGAGGAAGAGAGTGGAGGATTAGCCTTGAGTCTGGCCAACATCGACCAAGCCATGTATATGGTATCCGCGTATGATATGGCGGAACCAGAGGTCATTCGAGCATTGGCTGATAAGTTGTATGATTTCCCTGAAGGGGGGAGAATGGAGTTGGTGTACAGGCCACCCCCTAGGGAAGAAAAAGTGCAAGCACCCTATGCTCAAGCATGCGGCCAGCATTTTTTAGAGGTGGGCTCAAGCAAGGGGGAAAGAGGAGGTACAAGACGGTAGACAAAAAGAGCCACCCTATTCCGGTCTTAGTGACACATGAGGAGGGAGTGTACTATGAGCAGGAACGATAATTGATTAGGCAAATGAGAGAGAAATGGGAAGCTGAATCCTGTCGTATCAACGAGGAGACTGAGAAAGACCTGATCATTGGTGAACCTGAATTCTTAACCAAGCAAGAAAGGGCGTTAGTAGTTGACTTAATGAAGGAAAAACACAACACCTATGCCTTCAACGATGAGCAGAGGGGAAGGCTAGATGTGGACAAGATAGGGATGATCCGAATTCACACAGTCCCGCATCAACCTTGGAATGTTAAAGGAGTCAGGTATCCAAATCCCGATGATCAGAGAAGGGTGGTAGGGTACCTTGACGGGAAGATTGGTTCTCACGTAGCAGAATTCTCTAGCGGACCTTATGCCTTGCCATGGTTCTGCTTCATCAAGCCAAATGAAGTACTCAGGTGCGTGCAATATTTGCAAAGGTTGAACGAGGTAACTGTTAGGAATGCCGGAGGGCTCCCTAACACTGACCAACTCTCTGAAGCCTGTGCTGGAAGGTCCATTATCTCGCTTATAGATTTATACTCCGGTTATGACCAATTCCCAGTGTATCCGGCAGATAGGCCGATCACGACAATGCACACTCCGAGAGGACTAATTCACATGAACGTGGCACCCCAAGGATAAATGAATGCGGTAGCCATGATGCAAAGGAGTATGGTAAGAGTCATGCAGCCAATCAGTCCACAGATTACTGAACCGTACATCGATGATCTAGCAGTAAAAGGCCCTATGGTGAAAGATGAGCAAGAGGTTGCGCCTGGCGTAAGGAAGTTTGTCTGGGATCATGTCAATGATCCCAGTAAGGTACTCGATTTGTTAGAGGAATATGATCTTAGGGCTAACGGAGCTAAGTCCAGGCATTGCATGAGTGAGGCTACTATATTGGGCTTTGTGTGCAACAAGCAAGGACGTCGTCCAGACACCAAGAAAACGAATAAGATCCTTGAATGGCCTACGCCATTCAGGAACGTTAGCGAAGTAAGGTGTTTTCTTAGGACGTGCGGGTTCTGGAGAATTGTCATCGAACGGTTTGCTGCAAAGACTGGACATGTGAGGAAACTGGTTAGGAAGAACCAGGAATGGGAATGGGGAGAGAAGCAGGAACAAGTAGTGAAGAGTTTGAAGGAAAAATTTAAAGAAGGAGGTCTTGTGTTGGGGGTCCCTGATTATGAAGCTGTAACAGAAAGACCCTTTATCATAGAGACTGATGCTGGACCCACAGCTCTGGGAGGAGTCCTAATATAGGCAGATCTGAAAGGGAAGGAAAAGCATTTGCGTTTTGAGAGTCGAACCCTCAATGCTACTGACCGGAACTACTCTCAATTCAAAAAGGAAGCCTTAACAGTAGTGCACTGCCTACGTATCTTTAGGCACTATCTCTATGGGAGGAGGTTTGTCCTAAGGATAGATCCAACAATCCTTGTATATTCCCTCAAGAATTTCGAACCCACATATCCTACTATCGCCAGATGGCTCACGTATATCTGGATGTTCGATTTTCAGTTGGAACATATCCCAGGGAACAAGAACAGGGCTGATGGATTAAGTAAGATAGAGTGGGAAAAACCTGGGGATGCAAAGGAAGAGACTCCACCAGTGGATGGATTCCTAGATGAAGATGATATGCAGTTCCATGTGAATTCATGGAGACTGAGTGTTAATGATAGGGATGCAAGGAGAGGAAAGTCCATGTGGTACGCCCCAGCAACTTTTGTAAAGGTTGATGAGTTGGTGTTGAAACCTTTTATTGAAGAAGACGCATGGGGAGAAAGGAATGAAAAATGGATGGAAAGGTTGGCTCGGGCTGAAACCTACAGACTGACTGACGATCCAGTAACAATTGAGGCAGAAACGAAGCAAGTAGATCAGCACCTGCTGACAATAGGGAGAATACACTACCTCGTCAACTCACTACTATAAGTTCAGGCTGACAATAAGGAAGAGATAGTAAAGGCAAACGAGATATTGTTGAAGGATGATTTCGAATTTGATGAAGAGATGAAAGGAGAGGAGTTTGAACAAGGAGAGATCTCGGAGGATTTCCGGGAAGAAGAATATGATGGGTTCCACCTAGAAATGAGATTTCTTCTCTCAGGGGATAAAAGTGAAAGAGATGTTGGTAAGAAAATTCTCCGTATGAGAGATCATTACATAGTGAGGGGAGACCATCTCTTCATCAGGAACAAAAAGGGACCTCCTAGGACGGTCATTTGTGGCAGGAATCGACATATCGATGTGATAGCAGCGCTACATGATGGACCCGTAGGAGGTCACAAGAGTTTCGCCACTACCGAGCTCTTCTTTGGGGAGGGTATGTATGGAATGATCTGAAAGTACTGCGAATCGTGCGTTCCCTGCCAAATCAGATCTCCAATCAGGTGCAAGGAACCTCTACATCCAAGATATATCAAGGACGTGGGGGCAGTGATCCATCCGGATCTGCTAGCAATGTCATTGGGACTCGGAGGCTATAATTATATCTTTGATGCACGAGATATTGATGGAAAGGCCATCCGAACCAAGATAGGAGCAGTCTTGGCAAAGTGCATCAAGGAATACTACCTCCGGTATCCTTTCGTTGTGGAGTTTACAATGGATAGGGGGTCTGAATTTACGTGTGGGGAAGTGAAAGAGTTGCTGGACGACCTAGGTGTTATTCCCAAGTACACGACCAGAGTACATCCGCAGGCGAATGCAAGATGTGTATAAGAGACAGACCTAGGTGTTATTCCCAAGTACACGACCAGAGTACATCCGCAGGCGAATGCACCTGTTGAAAGAAGGCACAGTACGATCACCAATTTGCTAGCGAAGTGGACAGCGGGGAAGCGAAACCTGTGGCCAAAGTTCCTAAGAACGGTGTTCTTTGTCGAGAACATCACAGTCAAAAGAACCACAGGATATGCCCCTGCAACCCTGTGGTATGGAAGGCATGCCACGTTTTCTATAGAAAGTTTCTTAAAGACGTGGCGAAGGCAGGATCTCGAGAATGATATGCCTCTGGAAGAATTGCTTGACATCAGGGTCAGGCAGGTCAGTATTACTGAAGAATGGATACATGAAGCAGTGGAAAGAGTGGCTGACAGCCGTGGACGGGACAAAGAAAGGTGGGATAAATCTCCTCGCGTAAGGGATGAACCACTTGAAGTTGGAGAGATAGTACTGTTGTATGACCCCCCACTCGAAAAGCAATGGTCAAGGAAGTTGGACAAGAGATGGTTGGGACCTTTCAGAGTCAGACGCAGAGGCAATTATGGAGCTTATGAACTGGAAGAGATGGTTGGAACACCAAGAAAAGACTGGATTTCTAGATCTAGGCTGAAGAAGTTCAAAATGAGGCAAGAGGTGAGTTGATAAAAAATGAAAGAAAAGCCTGATGATCTTGTGGAGACTTTGCTGTGGCATTTCCTTTGCGAACAAACTATTGTTAACCAGCTGTTGACTTTTCCCTTTATCTGTCACTCCCTTTTTTTTCCTGTGTGCAGGCGTGACCCAGGAAAACAGGCAGCCATGGCACAGAAGAGAGGGATGGCGGGTGCTTCCAGGACAACTCCTGGAAGAGAGGGACAAAAAAAGGCGCAGCTGGTAACGAGGGATTCTCATGGAATGCCTATTTACAAGGAAGGGGACAATCTGAGGATCTTCCTGAGGGAATTTGAGGAGCATGCCTTCAGAAGAGAGTGGAGTACTCGGACCATGCTTGAACAGGTGACAGGACTGGGAAAGTGCAATGTGGTGATAGATGAGATTGCCTTAGAATGTCTGGGGTGGATAGATTTCAAGGCTGGTATATGGACGAAATATGGGGACTTGACAAGGGATGAGATCATGTCATCTTCGATGGCACAAACTTGGAAGATTTCGAGGACAGCATCAACCTTTGCTCAGAGAAAAGAAGATGGGGTGAACGGAAGATGATGGAGCAGGTAATGAGGAGGATAGCACCAAGGGAGTATGAGGCAGTGAAGAGGATCAAGGAGGAATCGGACAGCAGGGGGAGTTTCCTTGTCAAGATGAGAAAGGCATATCCCTTGGAGGTGCAGAGACAAAAGAAGAAACAGTTACTTCAGGAGCTGGGATTGTGGATTGGCAAGGGAGGAGAGAAGATAGAAAGGAGAGCTCGGAAGGAAGATAGGAGAAATATCAGAGTCCCTCAGCTGGGGAATGATGAGGACAAAGCTCACAGTGGAAATGACTCAATAAAAGAAGACAAGACACAAATGGAGGGGCATCATGGTAAGGAAGAGGAAGGCAATGGCAAGGCAGGAGAGGTGAAAAAAGGAGACGAGAAGGTGAAGGGAAAGGAGAAAGACAGTGAGAAGAATGAGGTGGTAGGACCATCTGGAACTACAGAAGAGCCTATTTCCAATGAGTCTCCAAAGGAACGGGGCACAAGGAGATGGAAAGAGGAAAAGAGGCAGAGAAAAGAGAAAGAAAACAGGGAATGGAGGAATTGGGATGTGGCCTCGTTAAGAGAAAATGAGTTGCCTACAGACGCACACTGGACCTTAAAGTTGGAAAGGATGCTACTCTTTGAAACCGTGATCAGCTCCAAGTTAGCTACTGATATGGACAGGTTGATCCGATTGAATGAGCTACTCAGGGACGATTGTGAATGGATTCTTGAGGGGGAGGCAGAAGTAGACGGCAGGTTGAGAAAAGTGGAGGAAGAAAGAAGAAGAGCATTAGAAGTTCCCTTTCAGGAACTTCAGGACAGAATGAAGGAAAAAAACAGAATTGTTCACGCAGGGAGTAGCAAACCATGTCCCTGAGATCCTGAAGGAGACTCAGAGGTTGAGAGCAAGAGAAGAAAAAAGGGACATGCAGTGGGCAAAGGTGGAAAAGGAAATGGAGGGTTTGAAGGCTGAGGTGAAAAAAGCAAAAATTGAACAGGGAAAGCTGGAGGTAAAGGTGAAGGCTCTAAGCATTGCTCTTGACAACAAGAGTAAAGAGGCGGAGACAGAAAAGATGGAGAAAGAGAAGTTGGAAAAAGAAGTTGGTAAGTTGGAGGCAAATGCCAGTGAACAAGGAAAGGCAATTGAAGAAAGCAAGAAGAAGCTGGAAAATGAGAAGTGGGAGAAGGTGGAAGAGGCCTTGAAACAATCAAAATAGGGTATTCAGGAAAAGGTTGAAGTGGAGGATGCTGGGAAGACTGAGGACAAAAAGGAAAATCCAAGGATGGAAGGAGATGAAGAAGGACTTAAGGGTATCCATCAGAACAAAGGGTTGATGGTAGGGGTTGTCACCTTGCCTAAAAAAGATACTGGGGAAACGTCACTCACAGATAACAGAGTGGGACAGGAGAGGAAGAGGTCTTACCTTGAAACATTAATTGGGGCTGCATCACAAGATGTCCCATCATTTGCAAAGAGATCAAAGGAAGAGGATAAGAAGTTATGTTGGTATTGTATGAAGGGAGTTCACAGGAGGGATGATTGTCATGGTTTTAGGACAGATAGAGAAAAAGAGTTAGTTAGTCTCGATGAGAACAGCAGACTCATCGATAGGAAGGAGAATCTGATTAAAAGAACCAAGGAAGGGTTCAGGGTTCAGTTGTATGAGCAGTTGGGACTCACTTTCGAGGATTAGAATAAAACAGTTTTCATTCCTTTTAGACAGGCATTGTATATTAGGGACTGAGGGTGAAGAAGGCAGTATGGTGAGGTTGGTATTTACTCCTCTTGCGAGCATCGGATGGAGTGTTTTTGTCTAGGTATAGTACTAAGATTTGAGGATCATGTATATTATTCTGACTCGACATTTTTGTGCTCTAGTAGTTGAGGGTAGGTCAAACGTATGATTTTCTTTCTATCTTAAGGATCTGTGCATCCGTCTGGATCAATTTTGGACATATACTTTTGTATTCAGTTGAGTTTCTCTATCCTAAGTTACTTGCGAGGTTTACCTATGGAGAACTTGAACACTTTGCACTTTCACAATTGAGTTGGTCCAATGTTTGATATTTGTGGATAAAATGTGTACTTTAGATGTATGTGCAGTCTATCTTGTCAAATCTTGAACTAGGATGCTCAGAAAAGCGCCGAAGTGTTCAAGAGTGACAAGAGTAACTGAAATAAGATTTGCAAAGTTTGAAAGTTGTTTTGCACTATGATGAGTCATTGATGTTTATTTTTGAAGCAGACCCCAAAAAGGGGTATGGAAAAGTCAAAGTTATCTTACATTTGAGAAAGCCTTGTGAATCAGGGAGATGTATGTTATGAATGGAATGAATGTTTTTTTTCTGCCTTCTGACAAGACAAAGGGTCAAACACATACTTTTGTTTTCATTATGGATATTTTGGTTGGCTTTTCTATTTGAAAAAGATCCCCGGGACGTGTGCCTACCCAGCCTGTGATCGAGGTCTGGTAGGCACGGCCCCTAAGTGACTCTGACAATGCCCCTCGATCAGAGACAAGTTTTTCAATCATGTTGAATCATTCTTATTGATATTGCTTCTTTCGTATATATATATTCAATGGGTTTGTTCACCCATTCAAAGACAACTGACCAGGGGAGATGAATTTTATCTGGTCAAATTTGAATTTCATATGTGTATTTTTGAAATAATCATCGTTCATCCATTTATGGAGGTTAGTATGAGGGACTTAAAATTACCAAGCCTATGGTGGAAAATTGGCATCGTTGGGATGTAACTCCCAGCGTGGGCTGCTGACCAAGTATAACCAGGCAGCGGACCTTCCGATTACGGCATGGGACTAAACCTAAAGGGAAAGATTCCCTAATGATAGTATCAAGTTCAGGTAGATATCGGGGGGATCGAGAGTCAGGTGTAGATATTTGATAGGAGGTAATCATCCTGTATTGCGTAACCAATACAGGTACCACCATTAGATTAACAAACATGGTGGGCCACAGATCAGGCCTGATCAATCGATTGTGGTGGGTTGAGACCAAGATTGTCGATCCCCTCGCATTAGACTTCGGGTGGGACGGTAAAAATTGACTTAGGTTGAGAACCTCGTCCAAAAGAGTGAGATGCATTTATGATTCCTAACTCCTCGGACACCCAATGAAATCCTGGCAATAAAGTCTAAAGTGGAGGGGAGAGGCTATCATTATCTTCCTTGGTGACCTTTGTAACTGTAGTACAGATCCAGTATCCCTACTTTAAGTCATATGGAATAATATTTCTTTGGTATTGCAATTGTTGGTATGTGGGAGACCCAGGTTGAAATTCTGGCAGTATGGACGCGCCAAGGGAGATAGTAAGGGTCTTCAAGCCACAACTTTGTCCAGGAAATCGGATTTTGACAACTTATCGCGTCAGAATGCCTTTGTTTGCATTTAGATTCCCCAGTGACAGGGACGTCGCTTAATGAGGTCTTGGAAGACTGTCGGAGCTGATACCCTTACAAGGGTATCCGCTCATGATTTTACAGTCGATACAATGTCGACACCAACTGTTAGAATGGGGTCGGCTAAAAACAGAAACTGGGGTAAAACCCTCGGCCATTATGGTCATGAAAGTTAGAAACCGCAAAGGCCAAAACACGGCACACGCGGACAAGAGTCGGAGGTTGAAAATTTCGAATACTCGCAGAACATGCAAAGACGACAATCGTTAGTAAATGAAATGACCCCGCACGCCATTCCGACACGAACGGAGACTGCAAAATGGTTAGTAAGTAAGACCTCCGACCATTAAGGACGGAGGGTTAGTTAAAACGGAAAAGATCGCGCGGGACGGGGCGACGATTTTCCTCAGTCAAGCTAACGACTGGGAAAGTATGACCATTTCAGCTCAAGACCACAGACGTCGAGCATATCGGAAAAAGCGGGGCGGGAAACCGCTCCCCGCAGGATAAAATAAAGGTAAAAGTTAGTAAAAGCCGTGACCATGTGGCCGGGGCGACTAGGCAAAAGGGGCACAACCTGCTGTAACAGACTGCGATGGCCTACAATGGTCTGGATTTCCCTTACGGTAGGCCGCAGGCCTTATGGACTGGCTGAACTAAGCCCTGTACTCTACTTAGGGCAGACTAGCTCTTAATAGAACCAAACACGGAGCTAGCCCAGTAGGTATAGGTACTGACTGATATGCAAAAAATCTCGGTATCAAGCCCGACCTGCCTCCAGGCTAGCTCCTTTTGCTAGCATAAGGGGGCGGGGCCTACCTTTTTCGCCCGTCCACAGATAGGCGGGATTCGATCCCGTGACTTCGAAATTGAAATTAGGTACGACTATACCCCATTGTGACAGTTGCCACGACGGGGTAGTTAGGAGTTAGATCCTTTTTGTTTTCTTTTTTTTCTCTTCTTTTATTTTTTTCTTTTAGTTAGATTTGAAATTCGTTTTTAGGCCCCGTGGTCAGAAATCCCACATAACCTCGCCTGAGTGAATCTACCGCTGAGATCACAGTAGGTTCAGTCAAGGAGTGAGTTGGGATCCCAGACGAGCTAGCCACGTAAGGCTACAGCACGACGCCGCGGAAATCCGACTCGGGGGACAACGGACTAGGAGTAAAGGGAAAAAAAAAAAAAAAAAAAGTGCTCGGAGGCGAAGAGGGGATATCGCGAGTAAGCCGAGAAGCGGGAGATCGCGCAAAGATAGCAGAACGTGAGGAGGAGAAGGAAAAAAGGAGGAAAAGAGGGAAGAGAAGAAGAAAAATGAAGAGGTGAGGGGGAGAAGAAAGGAGAAGGTGGGGAAAACGGTGCTTACCTAGCCGTATCACTGCCATTGAACTCGTAAGGTAACCTCGTCATCGGCCCGGCCTCGTTAGGATGCGCGGTGGTAGCATGCATAGGAGATGGTAAGCGGGAGACGGACGAAGTACCACCAAAAGGGGAGATAAAAGGAAGAAGAAGAGAAGGAAGGAGGAGGAGAGGAGAGAGAAGGAGGAGAAAAAGGAGAAGAAGAGGAAGGAGAAAGAAAGCGAAGGTGATGGAGCACTTACCTGCGAGACAGCGAGCATAAGACCAACGATAGTGACATCGACGACGACGACGACGGCGATTACGGCAACGACGAAGAAGAGGAATAGAGAAAAGACAGGTAAGTCTCGGGATCTTGGGTGTCTATACTACTACTACTACTACTACCACTGCGGAGATGTATATACGAGTGTGCGAGTACCTGTGTATGAACAAGTCAGCGTCGATCTCATTTCGACTTTCGGTCACTTCCACCAACGGAAAGGTGGAGTGAATGAATCTTCTCCCCCTCCCCAAAATAAGGGGATGTACGTCACCTTTGCATAAGTAGGAGCAAGGGCTACTTCGAATGGGGGATTGGATCAAACACAACACTCCCCTCGTTCCGAATAAATCCGGTTACGAAAATGCAAAGTATATATTCATTTTCTTATATTATTACTATTACTATTATTATTATTATTATTTATCATTATTATTGTTTGTTATTTTTTATTCACGACTACGATTTCAACTAAGTACGTATGAGAAAGACTGAACGTTGTAGGGGAGAGATGCATGATCAAATGTGTAGGTTGAACACGTCTTAGAGGGGAAGGAGTGCGTGAGTGTGTCGACTCCATGATTTGGCTTCATGGTGTTCCCATAGGGAGGATGCGCACAAGAAGGAAGACTATCGGGCAACGTACCTAAGAAACATGGACATAGAGAGAAGGAAGAATCGCATGAAGGGAGTAGGAAAGAAGCGGAAAAAGAGAGGAATAGTGTGAGAGCGAATCGATCCGAGATAAAATCGAATGAAACTCCCGTTACAACTTGGAAATGTACACCGCCGCTTGCGCCGGCCGCTGTCACGCTTTCCCTCCGAGAGGAGAGACAAAGTCGATGAATCTCTCCACTTGCGCTCACCCGCTGTCGTGTCTTTGCCCCGGCTCGCCAACGGGAATGTCATGTGTGTGTGTGTGTGTGTGTGTGTGTGTGTGTGTGTGTGTGTGTGTGTGTGTGTGTGTGTGTGTGAGACGATGGAGTCCCCGACCTTGGCCAACAGCTAACCGTGATTCGCCGCACGCTCCTTGGATCGATAGAACTTGCAAATAGAAAAGTGATAGTGTATATTTCCACGTTTCAGCGGAAGATTCATTCCGTTTTACACATCCTATCAAAGATGTGTTTGTTTGAGTGTGTTTGTGTGAGTGTGTATGTGGGAGTGTGTATATGCATACGTGCATGTGAGCTCCTACCAAGGCATTTGCACGCAACCTCCATCAAAGGTATGATATACATATATATGAATATATATAGATATAATAATAAATAACTAAATAAAATAAATGGTATGAACCTACCGCTAAAGCATGTATAGATACACTACCGCCTGAATGTGTGAGTATGAATGTATGTGAAGGAGTTAGTAGAGAGAGAGAGTTATGGCTCGGAGACTCAACGACATTGGATCCGGACTGGACATTGGGATTCAGACATTAGGACGGGGATCTGGTGTTGACGACATTCCCAACTTCTCCTCTCCTTCGTCTGACCCCCCTTCTCTTTGCCTGTGTATGGCGGGGACTGGCGCATTCTTTGTGTACGAGCGTCAGGCCCCTTCACACTATGGAACGATGATGAAGTATGTTAGGGATGCATCGCAATATTGATTGTTCGGATCATTGGTATTTAAGTCTCCCGCCACGCTATCTTGTACTTTGTATTGAGAAGT